TTACTTTTTTAATAGTCGTTGGTCAAGCATGGGAAGAGTTTTGCATGCAAATTGTAGATACGATGAAAAATTGGATTTCGATGAATCTCTTGAGATAACATTGTTAGGGGTACTTTCATTTCGTATGAAGCGAATGAAGAAGAGATTCGTTGTTTGATCTCACCAGATGAGGACGGATGAAACTCGTTGTACTGCAGCCGTTTGGCTTTTATACAATATTCATGCTGACGCTGTTCACGAGACTTCCTCCCTCGTTTCGGATAAAAACGTGCTGAGCTTTTGTCCATCATATAATGGACATCATCGAGGCTGGGTTTCATCTTTGTAAGAATCTCACGTTAACATTATGCCAAGAACACTATCTGGCTCTATTATACTTCTTATATAGACTCCATTGAGCCAAAAGAAAATTAAAACCTAGATAGATCCGTCCTCATCATCGACCAACGAATCTCTTCTTCATTCGTTTTCATAAGAAATGAAAGTCCCCCCTATAATATGCATGCAAATTGACAAGACGGTTTCATAAAGCTCGAAGAGCTAAGGGTTTTTAATCAATTTTTTCTAAAATTTTATGCATATTTATGTTGCATACGAAGTGGCTAAGCATCACCGTGTATTGTGTTTATATTAACTATTTAAATATAAATATTAATATATTAAAAGTTTTAAATTTCTTTTTTCAAACAACCCATCATTTCTACATTGCATTTTATATAATAGAGGAAAATTTGGTCATGTCGTACGATGCGTGGATAAAAAGACGAAAATCATCTACGCGGCAAAGTCAGTCCGCACTTTACGCATCAAAAGGCATGAGGGCATTGTTCTAGAAGTAGCTGTGCTTAGGAGCCTTGGCCGGTACCCTCAAATAGCCGCACTACATGCAGCCTTCGAATATCGTAACCAGTGCTTTATTATTACGGAAATGTAAGACTTATTAGATTATCTATTAGTTATCAGAGTTAGATTAAACTAACTTTTAATAATAATATTTATTCGAAGATATAAAGACCAAGATAGTGTGAACATCGGGATGATCGCAGTCTCCCCACGTTCGCAACTTGATTTAGTTGTCAGGCCGAGTAATTTGAGCGCATCTTGTCCGAAGTCCTCTGCTATAGGAGTTATCATAATTCTTAGCATCCTACCGTGGACTTGGCACATTCTCAGACGTCTTACCGGCATCGTAGGCCTCATTATCAGTGAGTCTTGCTATTCTCAGCACCAAGCTAAGAGACCAAAGAGACAAGTGAAGTCATTCATTCGACTAACGTTCTGTCCTGACCCATCTATCTCTTCCTTACCCTCTTATCCAACTCACACTCTATCACAACTTCTGACTTGTGTACATTCTACTTGTCAAAAGGTGTGCCCTTTTGAGAAATTTATCGTGGCGTCATCACACCTGCCGTTCACCTTGGCCCCCTCTCTTTCGATCGGCTAATCCAATTCTGGATTCCTAGCTGGACCTCCATCTTCGCTTTATTTCCAAAAGTTCCCCCTTTCTTCCTCATCGTGATCCCTTTTTCTCTGGTTAACGATTAGTCCTTGATCCAGACGTATACGTTTTGCTGATCTTGCTGTAGACTTTTTTCCCCGAGCTTGCTTAAGCGGTAGGCAAAGTTATCGCTAAGTCTACCCTCCTCCGATCTCCCGTTCATTAGATTTTTTCCCCCAACGATCTCAATGGCCTCCTTAATATTTCACTTCCTTGTCTCTTCACCGTGTGAGTCCCTCCTTTCAATTGCCTTCCAATTGATCTCGTGTCTAGTCTATGCGATCTGTTCCGCTAATTCTTATCTTTTGGTATCCCTTTTTCTGCAGATACTTTGATGTTCCTTGATTTGTATGCTGATTTTTCTCCCTGTTTCGCCTATTTATTTCTGTTCTCATGTGCCGCATGCTATGCAATGAACTCCCGAGCAATCCTATTTATCCACTTTCTCATGCTGTCTCGGTAGACTTGTGAAGAGTGTTATTTTTTCTTTCATGGCCAACCAAATATTCCATTTATTCAATATTGGCCTTAGTTTTTTGACTTAGTTCGCAGGAAGGTATGCATATTCACTTTTGTGAATCCTTCTCCGACCTCATTATTCTCTCATAGTTCACGTTCTGCCATCGAATTTTTACGGCCCATATGTTTCTTTGTAATACTTCGTTTGGGTAGCCATTGCCGAGCAATATCCTCGTCAATTTGTCCAACTTATCGTCCCAGAATTCAACATCCGTCAAACGTAGGCTTCGAATGATCATGCTCCTTATTATTCCTATCTTTAGTTTGTAATTGTGATGCGACTGGAAATTGAGTATCATCCAGGCATATGAACTCTTCCTAAACAGAATAAAATTGAGATGGTATGATTCTAATAAATGCATGAGAGGGGACATGAAAGCATGTTATTATACCTGGCAATCCGTATATCAACGCATGCTAATAGAGGCTAAATCGTGCGGGCTTCTCCTCTCGATGAAATTCGAGTAAATAAAGTTAAACAAGCATTGAAGTTGTTTGACCGGGGTTTAGTAACCTGTTCCTATTAGCAGGAAGACCTAGAGGAACGCACCTTGTTCGGAGTCCATAGTATGCATGATCCTTTCCAGAGTATGACTGTGGACTTGGTACATTCCCAGACGTTTCGCCGGCATCATCAGTGAGTCTTGCCATTCTCAGCACCACGCTACAACTCATTATAGACAAATGAAGTCAATCCATTAATCAACTTGCTGTCGAGACGGTTATACTAACACTCCTCTATACATTTCCTACCCTCTAGTCTCTCCCTCGTCCTATCACAACTTCTGACATGATTATATTCCACTAAAGATGTGCCCTTTTGGCGAATTTATTGTGGCGTCATCACACCCGCTGCATGCGGGTGGCTGATCCTGCTCTAGTCTCCTGTCCGGATCTGCCTCATATGCCCGTAGATCCGTTTCATATCTTTCTGGCTGACCGATTCCACTCGGTTCCAGTCCCAGCATACTTTTACTCCAAGTACTACTTCTCAAACCCACAGTCGCCTTATCTTCAGAGCGCCTGGACTCTGATTTCCATGCCCGCGGATATTAGGCATTACCATCACGCATCTTCTCCTCGAGTAAGTCCGTGTACCTTGAGCCAACTGTGGACATCTCTCTCTGGTCGTATGCTGCATCTCAAGTGGATTATTAGCACATTTGTTCAAAATGCCCGGTTTGTGTGACCAAATACCTCTCCATAGTCACGTGAAACGTCAGGTGCCCAACTTGTAGTTGTTTATTCGAGCTGACTACTCTCACTGGAAACGTCTTCGCTTCATTTTCGAAACCGCCACACCCTCTTCTTCCTTGCGATCCATCTTCCTCTGGTTTAAGATCGATCCTTGATCCAGGCGTCGCCTTTTTTATTGTCTTGTTGCATCCCTGTTTTCTCCCAGTTTGATTAGGCAATAGGCAAGCTTATCACTGACTCTGCCTTCTTTCAATCTCCCGTTCGTTAAATGTTTTCACCAAGGATGTCAATGGCCGTGCTAATCTTCCGTTTCTTTGTGCTTTCACAGTATGAGGCCCTTTTTTCAGTTTTCGTGTTCAGTTTCTGCAATTTGTTTGGCTATATCTAATCTTTCAGTATCCATTTTACTGCAGAGCCTTTTATGTTCCTTGATTCGTATGCCGATTTTTCTCACAGTTTCGCCCATGTATTTCCGTTCGCAGACGCCGCATGACTACTATGAACTGCGGACATGGTGCTTTCCTCTAGGTCTTCCTGCTAATATGACTAAGTTGCGAATACAAGGTCAAATAACTTCTATACAACGAAAGGAGACCGCGACCACACAAAGGGCCACACCATCCTGGTCTCCATACCTTCTATAAACAAACATTATTATTCACGTGATAATAACTATATGATATTCTAAATTAATTCAGTCCGAATAAGTCTTCTATATTTATTTACTTTATTTATATTCTCTCTATTTTATCCATTATTAAGAAACACACCTGGCATTTACTCCATATGACTTGGTCCCTTTAGGCAAACTGCGAGTTAAACACATACTAGTCATAATATTGTGCCCATGAACAGTTGTGCTTATATTTGTACCAAGCATACTGGTTCAACGGTGAATCCTTGTTTAATCACTTTCTTATTTCAGTTGCATGCATTAAAAAATGATCTGAAATGACATGCATAAATTCCATTAATTAAGTATCGCTATGGCAATTACACCATGCATTCTGCTATATTTATTCTTGGATTTCTGCGATACTATAATGCAGCGTAACATAGGATCATTTTTATTCGCTTAATTTTTCCTAGGGTGTATGGAGGAGCCCTTTTTGACCGAATAGTTGAAGATGGTCACCTTGACGAGCCAATTACTGTCAATATAGTTCGTCAGATGCTTCTTGGTTTGCAACACCTAAAAGTAAAATTTACCAAAAGAAAGCTTTTATATTTCAATTTCATATGTATTATTTTCGCTTGTATTTTTAAGTCTAATTTAGGTAAAATCAACAATGAATTTCCTACGCATGCATGATTTATTTACCATAATATTTTCAAAAATAAGTTTGCTAGCTAAACTTATTTAAGAAAGCATGTAATATTTTGCTTCAACTACAATATGTGAGAAAATAAAAGTTTTTATTATTCCAAGTAGAATCGTTTGACTGTGATAAATTCTATAACAAATAATGTACGCATTCAATCATAGCTCAAAAATTTAGTTTAGTAAATATATCTTTATTCTCACAGAGGTGCTCAGTACTGCACAGAGATCTGAAACCAGAGAACCTTATGATGGTTTCCAAAGCCTATCATGGTTTAAAAATAATCGATTTTGGCTTCGCATGTTACTACGAGGAGAGAAATCCACCCCGATTAATGGCAGGGACCACTGCATACTCGGCGCCAGAGACCCTAGGATATGAAAATCAACACTTTGCTACGGATCTATGGAGTGTAGCTGTCATCGCATTTGAAATGTAAGAGATAATTTTTTCGAAATTTTTTAGTTAAAGCATAGTACTGGCCTTAAGTACTTCACAAATGAAATACATCAGATATAAATTGCATGTTATATGTTGTACTTTAGTAATATTGCTGATTTTCTGTCTAAAGCGGCCATAAATCTATTGTTTCATATATAGAGATTAATTTAAATTGTTTCATATGTGTATTTATTTAGCATTATACATTTATCATCTCGAGCCAGGGATTTTAATAATGGCAAGTGCAATTGATAGTGCTCAAACTATATTTCATTTAGTCATGAACCATAATTAGATTTAATAACTTACTTCATAGTCGATATTCGCTAAAGCAAACCATAGCTCATGCTTATAACTTGATTTTGAAGTACAAGATTAAGAAGCAAATTCCTCTATAAATTTATATCTTTACTCAATGAGCAAAATAATTAGTCATTGCTTTACGAAATAGGTTAAAAAGCTTTGGGCTTTTCTCTTTAGTTCATAATAGAAAACTTCTGCCTGTGATTAAAAGCGTACTATTTTTTCTAAATTTCATTTTTATGACGAAGTTTATTTCACTCTGGCAGAAGGTTGTAAGAACATGATTTGCTTTCTTATTTTACCTCATCCCTTATTTTATGTTGACTCATTTCGAAATCATTTTCTTACTAGATTGTCTGGAATTACACCATTTGAGGTGCCCCAAGATGGACCTAATAAAGATCGTGAATTAACGGAGCCAGAAGTTTCTGCCAACATTACCCGTGTGAGGTATACGTTCGATGACGATGGTATAGTTGATGCTTCGAAGGAAGCAAAAGACTTTATCAGCTCAATATTAGTGAAGAATATCAAGTAAGTAATTTAATTCGTTAGTGGATTGGCGAAGGATGCCAGAAAATAAGTATTCCTTCTTGGATGCTAAGTATATATAAATGCTTAAATCTCACAAATATTTGTCTTCCCAGAGGGCTAAAATTTATATGAATATACATATGACTTAGTTAGCGACTAAATGTTTAATATATTTAATCTTAAGCCACCCAATTGATAAATACCGATTTAGCTAACAGGCTACTCAAAATTTATCCGTTTGCTAAATTCGTGATAGTATAAATATATATATAAAGTTGATATTGGTAGTTGTAATTTTAGTTTGAATTTGGAATAAGTTATATAACAAACTATTTGAAGCTGGCTTTAGCATAATAAAAAAATTACATTTTTGTAAATTTTATGTTGCAGTCCTTCATAATTTTATTAGTACAATTGAAATCAATATGGAGCAAGCTTATTATGAAAGTAAGAGATTATTGTGCTATCAAAATTTCTTCTATGTCATTTTATCTAGTTTGATTTGAGACAAGCTTGCTGCTTTTCTCTGCTAGAAATTTTATAAATTATTTGTTTTTGGTTATATAGCAGCATACTAGCATTCGTAAATACTTTAGTCTTGCAAGTGGTCTATTATTTGTAATAAAAATACTAAAATAAGCATTACATTGTTATCGCTTATCTCAACATTGCGCCTTTCTTGGTTAAATAATTAAGAGTACTCAGAGGAAATGCCAGAGCATATGATTTTATAAAGGAAAATCTTTACTAAACTATTAATAAGTTATGAAAAATGATGAACAACGCGTCAAGTGAGGTAATGTTTGAAAGATTCGTTACTAATGCAATAAAGAATCAGTTCTAATCTATTCACCTCGCAAAAAGTAACTTTTACTGACGAGAAAATCAGTAGAATACTAAGTCTAATGGCAGAAAAAACGGTTGGCTGTTGTTACATAATATAGCAATAAGTTTTGCCGTTTTAAAGAAGCTAGCTTGAGTTTAAAATCCGTAATTTTTGCGTAATATAGTGCATATAGTGTCGTTTGGCTTAGAAGGCAAATATATTTGCCTCTTGTTTCAGGATCCATAGGGACTGATGATTACACTACGACGAGTTCAAAGTCATAGTCTAGTTGAATGATAACTTTCTTGAGGAATCTTTAGTGAGGATTAATTAAATGCAGGGAGTAAGTTCTTTTTTAATCTATCGTAGACTTCTTTTATATCAATGAGTTATTATCAGCTTCTCCTTACTTGGTAGTCATTCTTCGATGTAATAATTTTACTGTTAGTAACTATAAATATTCCTATAAAGCTTTAATAAAAAGATATGAAAAACTACATTATGTCTCCAATATGACTAACTTCCTCAAGCATTTTGAAATTCAGGTTGCCCTTACAATAGCTTTAACTCTTTATGAAGCATTATCAAGTAATGCATTGTACCATAGTAGCTAGATCTTACTTTAATTATTT